ATTAGCATGTTTCTTTAGACAGTAATTTGGCAAGATGTATAAGATGTATAATGAGCCTTTTGAAGAGTTCATGACAACATATAGAAAAAGCATTTCCAAAAGATTATGCTTTAAAAGCCTCATTTGTTGCTATGCAGACAACTTCATCATAATAAGTAGCAAGATTAGACCAATTCAAACTTCAGATCCAAGAAAGACCAATTGTTCCAGGTTGCCTGTAGGCCTAGAGTGATTGTTGTAAAATAACCCTTGATGCAAGGAAATGAAAAAAGGTGACAGCCACAGGGCAGTCTACAAGGTCACTGTGAACCTAGTGAGGGTCTAAAAAAGAAGCACAATGATAACCTTGGGTTGTGGAGAATTTTCCCCAGAGTCAATACTTCTTATTATTAAAAATGTAATCTGGAATAAATACATGAATGTTCCCATAAAACTTACCAGATCTTAATTCTTGTCACGTGTTAATAAGTTTTTAATGATCCATGGCTCAAAGCACTCCTTTCATTTTTATTCAATCCCTTAATAAAAGCAGAACTTGATCTCTTAGTTAAGCCAAATTTACTGGCATTTGAAGTATACTGACTTACACTATTGGTGATTACCTTGACTCCCTAGAAGTTGCAATGCCAAGGAACTCTACTACTGAAAACAATTACTCCCTACTAGATTCGTTTTAGTTGGGCATGTCCATAGATTAAAATAAACATTTCTCAATGCAAGTTAGAAAATGCTGTCTTAGTTTCTACCACTCGAATCTTGTGGGATTTTTTATTAAAAAATTATTTTATTCTCTAAGTTCTTCACTTTAAATGATTTTGGGATTGATCTGAGAGAGTTCATCAATGAGAAAGCCCAGAGCAGAGTGGGAAAGAGAGATGAATCAATGACAATCTCCAACATTTGTTCCTTAATAACAAGCAGCTTGACCCTGTTGAAAAGAACATTTAAATACTCATTCCTGAAGCTGATGGAATAATTCAGCCTGAAACAGAAGTCTCTCATTATAATGTGGTTTTCATGAGTAGATATTTCCAGGTGGGAGAGGAGGGAAGTTAGAGTCAGGGAGGGTGTCAGATTATGGTCATCAAAACCAAACTCTGTAAAGTCCACACAACATTTATAACTATAAGGTAGAGTGAGTCCTATTTCCCAATATATCACAGGAGCAGTTCAAAGCATTTAACACATCACCTCCATGACTCTCCCAAGAACATATACAACTTTCTCTGTCCTCGAGGACAAGTCATTTCTGTCTCTATGTCTCAATTCTTACCCACAAAAAGTAAAGGTTGCACTGGGGGATCTCTGCTGTCCATTAGGATTTATTCTATTCTTAAATCTAGTCCATGGGATTACTTTGGTTCTCCCCTAGAGGCCATACTTTACATCAGTGCCTTAATTATTTTGCTTTGTTTGTTCTGTCTTTGTTTTTATTAGGAGATGCAACACTCAATGCTGCTTATGGGTTACACTCAGACACTGTATGGTGCTGGAGATCAAACTCAGGTCTACTGCATGCCAAGCAAATGTACTAGTCCTTTGAGATATTTCTCTCACCCCTGATGCCTTAATTCTTTATGACACTGATGTGCCCATTACTTCTCAAAGACCTGTGGTCTATTTTTTCAATACAATGTCCAAAATAGCAGGAAAAACCCTTCAGTTACATATTCATAGTGGTTCATGGAGAACAATTGGTAAAGACCTACTATCTGTTAAATAGCTCTCTAGCCACCATCTATGTAGAATGATCCAGGGCTAAGAGTTGGTTTGACCCTGCAAGAAATATTTGACAATGTTTGGAGACATATTTGTCATAACTTGGTGGGAAAAGGGCATGCTCTTGGCACCTAGCAGTTGAAGCCAAGCACGCTGCTAAATGTCCTGCTATGTAGAGAACCAACACTGACCACAATTATTACCACCAAATGTCAAAAGGGTCAAGATTGAGAACTCCTGGTCTAGATCTACAGAACCAGTGGTATGGAATAACCAACTTCCACCAGCTCCCCAGAGTAAATTATTTGCATCTCTTTCCAGTCCCACATTCATAAGGTAATTTTGGTTTCTTAAATTGACCATGGTGAAAGTATTTACACCAAAACCAATGTTGTGATCTATATAAAGAGAGACGGTTTTATGTCAGTGAGTCAGTTGCTAAACATTTACCAATATATGCCTATACAGAACCAAAACATAAAATGACTGGTTTAAAACTCAAAAGTGCTTCCAACACTTGATTCCAGGTTGAATGGTAGAGAAATGAGATTATCTTGATTATAGGCTAGGAGTCTGGCCTTGTGTCACTGTGACAACAACAAAAAAGAAAAGACCGTATGTGGGACAATGCACATAAGTATTCAAGATTCCCTGGTCTTGTTTTTGTTTGCTTACTCATATATACCCTGCCTTCTTCCAAAGAGCATTTGAGGAAACAATTTAGAAAATAAACAACAGGCCTGTTTATTAAATTCCTCTGAGGAAAAGCACAATGAAATAATAATTCAATACATGTAATTTTTAAAACGTGAAATACAAAAATTAAAGATCAGCATACAACAGGTGCAAAGCCTGAGGAACAAACAACTAACTCAGTCCTCCTGCACCTGGCCCAATCAACTGAGCCATGCATTTCCTGCAGGGTCCTGAAAGTCAGTGCTGAACTCCACTAGATCCCCCACAGAAATTGGCAGAAACCAACTCTGGCCTTCCGGTGTTTTGCACAGAAAATAGATGCCCTACAGAAACTCAAGCCACGTAGAAGGGAAACCCTGTCCCAAGTTTACTCTGTATTGCTGTCTTGATATTTGTCTCTGTTGCTATGACAAAATCTGGCATAGGAATTTTTCTGGGAACAAATAGGAAATAGTTGTGGGGGGAGGTTCAAGACCCTCTGCACATTTAGGTTGGTTATAAACACTCATAGTAAAATAAAGCATTGACTCATTAAAACCAAAACAAACCAGGGAAAAAATTCAATCCCCATTCAGAAATTTTTACTTTGTTCCAGAGGTGAGCAGTTAGAAAGCTATTTGGTCTTGCAGACAAGGTCACCAGTGAAATGAACTAGCAGGGTGGAGTACGGACCACTTAGGGTACTAGTCACCCTGTGCCAAGATACACTCTTGCTTTTTGTGTGTTTGATTTCTAGAGCTGGAAGGGCTAAGCCCACATGGCAGAAATTTTCCATTTGCAAGAGGTGATTATTTTATCCAGCCTCACTGAAGAGTAAACCAGGGCTGTAGTCATTCAAACACCAGCACTAAGGGTCTGGAAAATCTTACAAGGGCATACAGAGCTATGACACACCTCAAACACAGATGTGCTGGGGGTGAATATTTTCATTTGTGTTTCTCTAAGGTGCCTATCTCTGAATTTTGTTCTTGAATCTTTAACTCTTCATCTAAACCCAAATTAATCTCCCAGTTACATCCACTAACTTGTCTTCTACAACCAGTGTTATATATGAGAAGGGAGCAGCTACTCCTCAGCCCACCTGCAGAGCGATCTAAGAGGGTATGAAATCCACCACATATATGGGCTAATATCATAGAGGTGTGTTATATTGATCCTTCAAGTGACTACCTATTCTCAATCTATTTTTCTTCTATTCCCAACTCCTTTATTCCAGTCAAGATCATACTCATTATCTCCTAGAACTACTCTAAGTGCCTCAGAAAATAAATACAGCATTTTATCAGTATTCCTTTTATCTGTTATTCCTTTAAAGAAGTAACAGATTTGCTTGGAGAAAGCATTTGGGAAAACTACTTTGAGGAGGAGAAGCAAGATCCCAAGGAGTGTTCAAAGCTAGCAAACAATGATCATCAAATTACTAAATCAGAAAATAAGAAAGAAAAACTCAATTGAAAACCTAAATCTGGACCTATGTGAGAGGGGACTAATGAGCCAATAATTATAAAACTACTTAACCTAAGTGCTTAGAATTGCCTGGCACTAGTCTCATTTCAATTCACTTGGCCCTTACAACTAACCTGGTAGGTAGGTCATAATGTTATCCACACTTCACAGCAATAGAAAGAATGGCCAAGAGTAGTTCAATGACTTGTCCCTGGTTGCTTTTCTAGGTAATGGTAGAACTCCTAAGACGTGATCTGATACTAGACTCTTCCTGAGTGAATAAGCCTCTGGTCACATTTGAAGAAAGACATCAAGCAGAGGACTATAAATATTTCTTCAAATTGATGAAGGGCAAAGACATATTCTATTGTATTTATTTCTATGAAATTATAAGCTACTACAAACCCATCACAGTATGTTGATTTTAGAAGCTTTCAAGTATGAAAAAGACACATCTTAGAAATGAAGCACAGAACTGAAGGATTACAAACTTACTGTGGGCTGTGCAATGGAATCTCCTTCAACTCCCCTTTGAAATCTTTGATCAGGTCTACATTTCACACAGATGCTTCTGTGTATATGGATTAGGGGAGGTGGTAGTAGAGAAAGACTCATAAATTCCACTTGTGCACATTGATGTGTGCACATCTATGTACCTGCACACAGGTAGCCGTGGGTGAACAGTTGCGGGACCAAGACAATTTTAACAAGCTCAACATTGACATACTCTACACTGAGTTATGTAAGGAAAATGTAGCTCCATGAATTGTAGCTTTAGAGATTTAATCTCATCTGTCTCCTGGAAATGACACTTAAGTGTCATCAACTTGATTATATAAAGAGTCTCCTACTTGGGCCAGAGTAATAATCCTGCAGGTAGGACACTTGTCTTGCATGCAGCCAACCTGGGTTCAATTCCCAGAATTCAATATGGTCTCCTGAGCCCCATCAAGAGTAATTCCTAAGTACAGAGCCAGGAGTAACCCCTGAGCATCACCAGGTGTGGCCCCAAAACAATGAGTCTCTTATTATATCATTTCCTCCCAAACTTTCCTATTCCTCTCCAAGATGGCCCCTGGCAGGGTGCTGGCAAGGAAGGGTTAATATATTTTTTTTATTTTATTTTTTAATTAATAAATTAGGAAAGAGCGTGAACGTAGTCTCTCACTATTACAAATTACACAGTCAAGTTTCCCACATTTGGAGATATCCCAGGGGTTGGCACATCCCGAGTGCAATGGATAAGCCTCACTCTGGGAAAAACTCCTCTGTGATCAGTGTTTCCCCTGCCAGTTAAGTTGGTAAAAAATATTCTTGATCCACATGATTCAAATGGTTCAGGAACTTTCCAGAAACTACCTTCCAGGTACCACCTTCTAGATCCTTCCTGGAAGGCTCCACACTGAAATTTGTAATGGATCAAGGCTAGCTATATGCTCCTTGGCTTTATCATAACTTTTCTGATTGAACTCACCTAGGACTGGTTAAGGAGCCCATGTGTGCTCCGTCCTATATAATCCACGTGTGACTGCACCCTGGTAAGTTCATCATCTGGAGTAACTCATGGAACTCATAGCACAATGAGCTTGGGTGAGTCTATAGAATCGTCCTATCACTGTGCCCTGCCAGACTCTACAACAAAGTCAGCATATTAAATAAACAATTTACTTACCATCTTGTACCTAGTAGTGATTTTCTAAGATACATGCCTTTTGGCAATTACCTATACCCAGGAAACACTAGTTACTTTCGGGAAAAAATGGATCCCAAATATAATATAGAGCTGCAATTAGTAGTAACTGGATTCATAATGAATGTGCACCAATTGAGAGTGTCTATGGGTGTGTTCTAGTGGTAGTTCTAGTATATATTAAACCCTCTATTTTCCCCCAAGGGAGGGAAAGGAATATATAATAGTGAACATATTCAATTCAGGTTAGAGAGTCTTCTTACTCCCATGGAATAAACTGATCAATATCTGCAGGCTCATCTCCAGTATGCACAGTAAGTCCAATAAGCAGCCAAAGAGTGGCTGTTTCCAGAGATGGGACTTGGATGTGTGAAGCAGGAAGTCTACACACTGGTGTGCACTGCCTTCTTGGAAGGGGCTACCAGGAAAGCAGGAGAGGAACAGACTACCAGCATGGGCTCCACATTCCTGCCTCCACCGCAGGACCCTAAAAGCAAGGGACATACCTTACAGTTTGTATATTTGACTTAGAATTCTTAAGTATTTAAGCTTGGCATAAAAACTTCTTTTATTTTCCCTAGTTTTTCCCTGAGCACACCCACAAGTACTCAGGGATTATTCCTGGCTCTGCACTCAGGAATTACTTCTGATAGTTCTCCAGAGACCATATGGGATGCCAAGGATCAAACCCAGGTTGTCCACAAACAAGGCAAATACTCTACTTACTGTGCTATCTCTCTGGTCCCTGAACTATTTTATGATGGCTAGGGCCCACACTAGTTAGGGGAGAGCCTAGGGAATAGCTTTTAAGGGAGCAATGATAGTGACTCTCTTGAATTTCAAAAAAACCCAAAAACCATGTCTTTCTACAAATATGAGTTGGAATAAAAAAGAAAGAAGGAAAGAAAAATGAAGGTGTTGCTCAATGGTAATCATATGCCTTGTATGTGTGAGGCTGTGGATGCTATCCCCAGAACACACACACACACACACACACACACACACATACACACACACTGAAATAGAAAAATAGAATTTATTCCAACCCTTTCACACTTTTGTTTGTGTTAAGAAGTCAGAATTTGTGTTATGAAATCAGAAAGACCAGAACTCAGGTCCTGCTTCTACCATTCCACTTTTGTGTCCCTAGACAAGTTATTCAACATCTCCAGTGCTTAGTTTCCTTATCCAGAAAATAAGGAAACCATGGCTATCATACAGAGAAAACAAGAATTAATTCAACTATTCTCCCATAGCATCACTTTCATTATCTCCTCTCTCTCTATCCCCTCAATTTTACTTAGCAGACTCTGAGGAACAATTTGTTTCAAATGCTCTCAGGAAGGCTTTGCACGTTATCTCCCCCAGTACAGAATGAGAAATGCTTTCTGATCTTCATTTCAGTCCTAGCAACATCCTCAAATGCGTTCTTACCCACATAGCAGATATAGTCAGTCCATATCCCAGCCCTCTGGGCAAGGATTAACTTAGTACTCAGCTATCTGACTTTTTTGCAAAAGCACAGTTTTGGATCTTAAGAGACCCCCCCCCTTACACTTGCATAGTTGAAGTGCCAGGGAATTCATGCCCAGATAGTAGCAACCAGTGGTGGGTGAGAGGGGTGTTAAAATTCCACGGCTCTTTCACTTCTGGAATAAGCAAACTCCAAGGTACTTGCTCCCAAATGAACTCAAGCAAGCCAACATGCCACTTATACTTAAAGGCAAATTCCCAGTAATGAATCTTCTCATGATGCCATGAGCGGGTGGGTTTGGGCCTGCCAGCACTCCTTCTTCCTTGAACCATTCAATGTACAGCAAATCACAGCTTTCATAAAGAATCAATATGTTGCTTCCAGCAAGTGCTTCTTGAAGCTTCAATATTCTATCAAAAAGTCTATTAGTAATTTCACCTAATATAAATATGATTGTTTTTCTCCTTCCACAAATGTAGACACTACGAATTTAAGATTTAAGTTGTCAGGGAAATAGTATGGGGGTTAAAGCACTGGTTTAGATGTTTAGTCCCTAGCACTGCCTATGGTCTTCCAAGTACACCATAGGAATGATCCCTTAGCACAGGAATGATCCCTTAGCACAGAACCAGGAGTGAGCTCAGAGCACCACTGAGTATGGTCCAAACCCAAAGCCAAAACCAAAACACACGATTCAAGAGTTAAGTGGAAAAAAAAGACTGTTAAAGATCATTTCATGCTCCTATTTGGAAGCTATCTGACACCAGGGATCTTTTGTTGTGGGGAAAATCTCCCCATATGTTCTAATGAAGAACCATGACCCCACACTGTGCATCAAGGCAAGGCATCTGCTCAGAAGTTCCCAGGGACCTCAAGTTTGACAAATATGGTACCTCTATATTTTTATTTGTTAGTCATAATCCTTTGGTTAGTGACACATTCTGAAATTACAACAAATTCAGGTTCCAATATGACTAGAATGTAACCAAAAAAGAAATGACCCCTGCTTAGAGGAAGTTACTGCCAATTCAAACAGTGGCTAAAGCTGGCCAGCTGTTTGCAATTAGGCCCAATTAACACATTTAAACACAGCATCACTGGGAACCTCTTTGAAGTGTGTCGCTCTGTGAAGGTTTTTCTTGAGAGGGGGTTTCCTAATGGAAACCAATCAAAATCCACAGCTAAACAACTTGAACTTCCTATTTTGACTTACGTGCCATGTCACATTCATGATTTTGATTCATTCTTCCCAATTATGTGTATAAATATTTGAAATATGGAGTGAAATATTTGGGAAGGTAGATTGACTGAAAAGAACATTTACAAAGCCAGGCAAACAAGGGCCAAGTCTAGGAGTTCCTAATTTGTATTTTGAAGAATTGTCCAGCTCTATTTGAAACATAAATTTTTAAAGTCATCTTTACAAATAAGCACAGAAGAACCTGTAAGCTCTGAAATAAAAGCTGTGTGAGGGTAAGAACTGTGTCTCATTCGGCTCTGTCTCTCTATACTGGCCCACAGCAGGCCTACAGTAATAAGCACATTAATAAATGAATAAACTATACACAGATTTTTGGAAAACACAAGTTTAAGTCCCTGATCCGTATGTGTGCATGACAGAAAGCCACACATGCTTTCAGGAGAAAAGGAGAGCTCTGCCTTCATTCATACTATCTTGCAGATCCTGTCTATTTGGGGATTACTAGGGACCTAAATCTCAGCTCCACTTTTTCTAGCTGATAGAAAGATGAATGATGCGATGTTTGGTGGAATGTACACAACACCTGTGTGGGCCTGACAGGTGTTGTGTAGTTCTTGAATATTGGAGGATTCAAGAGTGATAAAGCAAAATGGTGCTCTGACTAATCATTCTTGAACAGAAGAAGCTCCACTAGCTCAGAACACCAACTTCTTATTTACCAACATGAGACCCAGCAAGCCAGGAGAGTCTGGGTAGTATGTGTGTGTGTGTGGGGGGGGTCTCCCTTGCTCAAGTTCCTGACTTAGAGCTGGAAGAATTTGTTGCTTTTTTGTCCATGAGTAAATGGGAAATGATTTTGGGTTAGTAGAGATCTGCTAGGAGGATTCTAAACCTGGGATACTTATTAAATGCAGGGTTTTGCCCCATTGCCCCCAAAGTTTCTAGCTTTGTGAGTCCAAAGTGTAACCTAGGAATCTCCATGGTGATTGCCATCTTCGTGATTCTGATGCAGATGACAAATGGTTTTGGAAGCCTGGGCAGAAGGGAATGCACGTGCTTGTAAGTAGAAAAATTTTCACCTCAAAGCACCCCAGGCAAGCCATCCCCACATCTGGTAAGTTGGGACATCCTTTCAGAGAAATTTCCAAGTCATATCTAAACAAGACTTTAACTCACTTTTATAAATAGAGAAATGCATGACACATAGTTTTTTACCTTTCTATTATTATAGACGCATATACACATGCACACATACTCCTCTCTCTCTCTCTCTCTCTCTCTCTCTCTCTCTCTCTCTCTCTCTCTAAGTGTTAAGGACCCTTGAGAACAGTTAGGGAGTCTTTCACTTTCCAATGCAGAAGACTCCCTTTTCTCTTCAGGGAAAATCCATGGTTTGGAAACATCACAGAAGCAAAAAGAAAGAGGACTAGAAAATAGTGGTTGCAAATGTAAGTGCCAAAGAAAAGCAGGGAGGAGGAGTAGCGGCTCTGGCATTTGGAAGAAACGAGATCTGAAATTGCTGGACAGGAGGGCTGAAGCCGAGCAGAATGCCATTAACGCAGAGGGATGACAAGTTCCTACAACTGGATAATTTAGAGACTTGTAATGTATCTGTCCACACAACAGCTAATTTCAGAGTCAATGATGTACTTCTTGAAGACAACCTAGAAATCTGGAAAATCCAAGACAAATGGTCTGTTAGCATAAAGGATCTCAATGGTTTAACACCCTCATATATCATGCATGCATGAAAGGCTTCCTCTGTAAACAGAAGAGCAAGACCACAGGGCCTTGAGTCCAGACCTTCTCTGCTTGTTTAAAAGGGGGCGTTATTTTCCACTGGCCATGTGCTTTTGTCTCTCTCTCTCACTCTCACTCTCTTTTTCCCTTCTTCCCCCACACCAAAAATATTTTTTTGCAGCAGCTCTTACTCAGT